TTACATAAATTTTAAATAAATTTACAACTAAAAATTTTCTATTTGTATTCTATTTATTTCAAAATTTTTCCACTAAAATGAAAAATGTGCTCCGCTCAGGGTATGAAGAGGACTATCCTGAACAACTTTGACAGCGAAAATTTTTCTTCAAAATGCTTTGTTGTTTTTGAAATGCGTGCATAAGTTTCAAAACATTACTTTAAGGACTCAAACTGCACTATAATAAAAAATGCTAATTTTCTCAGACACCGTTGGTTCAATTTTCATTATAACTTGTGGGTATATGTCACTTAAGGTGCTCTATCAAACTGCGTGACAATAAGAGTTCCAGCTTCAATTTTTGAATTTTTTTGTAAATGTTTTGAATAGAGGGCCAAAATCGTATGAAATTCGTGAAAATTTCTTTTCTCAGCAATTACAAGTCTGTTCATCGAAAGCACTTCAGAGTATATATAGCTTGATGTGCTCTACAAAGTTATGAAAAAAAACGGGGGTGGTTGCTCCCCCTCTCCCCTTAATAGAACTCGTCATTTCTGTAGTACAAAGTATGCGAACCGATTTCTTTGCGTCAGGTGGTGTGACTGTAGATAATTTGAAAAATAAAGGTAAATGTATCAATTAGAATATACTGAATTAAACTGCGAACAAACATAATTTAACCTGTTTAAATGTGTATGAAAAGCTTCACAGAACGCCGAATGACATAAAAAAGTAAAGAGAATGGATAGAATAAATATTCGTGGTAGCAAACAAAATAAATCATTGTTTCTTTTTTTACGAAATGGCACATATTAACTGTCTTTTTTTTGAGTATAAATTCTTCACATGTTGCACCTCTTGTATATCATAAAGTCTCGGTGGGGAGAGAAACATGCTTATCATATAGCCAACATTTAAGCATGATTGCACAAATTAGTTTTAAACAAAAGTGAATCACAGTGACGCAGCTGCGAATGGCACGAACAGAATTTCAAGTAGTGGTCGAATGAAGGTTTCCTCTCAAAACCTGTATGGTTTTCGAAGTGTATGAAAATCATGAAACATATGCTAAAAGGTACTATTCTGATAGTATGCACCAAAGTTATGCATGAAAGAGTATTTTTATCGTGTCTGTTGGTTCTGCATATCGCCATAGCTACGTAACAGCTAGCGTAGTGAAATTCGGTGACAAAATTTTCACGTTTTATTCTTCTCATAGTCTTTTAATGAAATAACTTTTAGAGCTGTGCAACATAGACAACGGTAAAACAAACGTTTCTGAATCAAATGAAATGTGTTCGGATTCTGTGTGATCTTTTCAACACACAGTCGTATGCGTTGCACAGCTCTGAGAGTTGTTTCATTAAAAGTCTAGAAAGAGAATAAAAGGTTAACATTTCGTCATGGCATTTCACCACGATGGGAGAGTTACGTAGCCACGTCGATACGATAATTGTTCATCACTACATAACTAGGATGTGTTTCCTCATTCGAACATTCTTAATAATATTTTATAATTGATACTTTTTAGCAGCCGTCATTCTAAATGATCAAGTCTATTTATTTACAACTGGCGAGCGAGTCATCATCAGTAAAAATTACATGAGTTAGAAAAGTTAAATAAAGTAAAACTATCGACTGCTTATGAACCATCTGCGCATTTATACATAACTTTTTAGTTGTCCTTTTCCTTTCTTTCTGGGTCAGGTTAGAATGATGGCACATTCAAATTTCGAAAAATCTACTGTGTATATTTTGTCTTTTCCTTTTCATCTATTTTTTTGCTTTGAAAGCCCTCTGAAAAGACGTATACTGGTATGATACCGAACGGTCGATACCGTTGAATTGAGGGGAGGGTAATCGTATAGCTAAAGATTCTTTGACCATTAGAGGATAGTGTCGACTGTTTCCTGCCACAATTTTTGTAAAGGGTGGCCCCAAGTTCTGTCTTATTCAGTATTGTCTCAATATCTCGGTCAAGGTTGATCACCAAGCTTCAACCTTTTTTTAAAAGAGAACGTCATCCAATTCTCTACATAAAACATATTAAACACTTCTTTATATACTATACAAATAAAGAATTATAGAGGAAATACGTGAGAGCTTCCATATCGATTACTTTCAAACCGAAAAAACAGGTTTTTCAGTTTCAGTTCCCTGTATTCTGCGATTTGAAAAAAGAGAGAATGGCTATATTGTAGATCTCGAAAAGCTGTATCAATTGGCTATATTTAAGACTCTTCATAGGGTCAAGCGGTTGCAGGAGGATTCTTTTTTTAGCGATTCTAATCCAAATCGTCATTTTCTAATCGCAGTTTTGCACCACTCAGGAAAATTTGTGTGATTTATTTCAAATCACATATTATGACTGTGGATCTAGTTTATCTTAAAGCAAAATAATTCTTCTGTTACATCCGAGCAGAGAAAGGCGAATAGCCCCTTTTCGTTTTCTGTGCTAAGACGAAGAAATCAAATTTTCCCCTTTTCATTTTTACTTTTAGTAAAATCTTCGTTGTAGCAGAGGTTTGTAGCGAACTTATGATGTAAGACAAGAAAGGTGACATTATGAGCATCCGAAAATACGTTTCGATTCCACTTTGTTGCATAGCACCTTGTTCAAAATAAATATTTATTGGTTGTGCTTTGAGTTTGAAAGTAATCGATATCGAAGCTTTTCCTTCTTTCCTCTGTATTTTTTATTCTTATAGTAACTTATATAAAGAAATGTTCAATATATGTTTTGTGTAGAAAACTGAATCAGGCTTTCGATAAAAATAGGACTGAGACTTGGCGATCAACCCTGACCGAGATACTGAGAAAATACTGAATAAGACAGGATTCCTGAGGCACCCTTTACTGTTAAAATCAATAGGGTGCACGGTTTGTACAACATGCTTTCTCAAAGCCTACTTAAGTTTGTATTCAGTTATTAGATCCAATTGTGCAGACTTTTTGTGAGGTTCTACTCACTCACTTCTCATATTTATTTGCATAAAGTGAACGGCTATATATAGTACACAAGTTGAACAACAGTTATGCAAGAGTTGCGCAGGAGTTGCGCAAGAACAGAAACAGTTGGGAAAACCAGGGGATGACACAAGTATTGTGCAAGAACAGAAAGAAAGGAAAAGAAGAAGAGAACATAGTCTTATGAGCTGCCAGAAATGGCAGATCATAACACTTTTAATGTGCCACCATTCCACATGATTCTCACCTGATGCGGAAAGGAAAGGAAAAGAACTGCGTAAGAGCATCATTTCTATGTGTAAAAATAGGCATGAAAATTTATAATGAGAAAGTGTAATAATTTACCTACTAGAAAGATCATTAAATTAAGAATTGTATCATTAATAATAGCACTGAGGACAGATTGAAATTTAAAGAATTATTTCTGTAAGAATATTGACCTGAAGAATATTTGTAAAATTTGTTGAGATTTATATGTTTATCATTTATAAACAGGTTCAATGTGCGATCACTCTGTGATAAGAATAATAATGGGGATCAACTCCCTCTTTTCTGGTCTCAAGTGGATGTTTTCTTCTCTATTGATAAAATAAATAAAGCTTATATGACTAAAAAATTATATATAAATGCGCAGATGGTTCATAAGCAGTCGATAGTTTTACTTTATTTAACTTTTCTGCCTCATGTAATTTTTACTGATGATGGCTCTGATGGGTCGACAGTTGTAAATAAATAGATTTAATCATTTTAGAGTAGCTGCTAAAAAGTATCAAACGTTTATGTCGCAAATGCTGCCATTAAACGTTTATAATCGAAAATTGATATTTATCATCAAGTGGTAGAAATGTTTCACTCTATTCTTCATGTTTTTCACGTATCTTGTTTTTTCGCTGAACATTTTCTATATGTAGGTATTTTTGTTAATTGCTTTTTATTATCTGTTTCCCTGATTTCCCCATCTGTGTCAAAATAAATGAAATGAATATGAATACGCTAAAATTGAGGATGACCCAAAAGAAATCTATATTATTTTGACAAACTAATTTTTTTTAATAAAAGAAATTTCGCGGATTTGTGGATATTTTTAGGCAGGTGGCCTAAAATATATCTTTTACCAAACCTTTAGTGACTCTATATCTAAAAAGCATAGTTCCAATCATTCACTTATGAAAAGTTATAATTCAAAGGTTTTTTTACCTTAGGTGCTATACATATGTGTCAGAGCCCAAAACGAATCGGGTTTTCCTGATTCGATCCGATCCGATTCGGCACAACTGTTTTGAATCCTAAATTGGTTCGATTCGGCAAAAAGTCTCGATTCGTTTAGGATTTTGCATCTTGTAGATATTAATTATAAAGGAAAAAAAGATAAAAGAATTTTTGTGTACAAATTTGGCTCGACTCGATTCGATTCGATTCGATTCGATCCAACATGTCTGATAACAAATTCAGTTCGATTCGGGCTCCGATATGTATATCGAGTGGTATAGGCAGAAACAGCCACTTTTGTTTTCTCTGTTGAGGAGCTTTAATATAGTCTAAAGATTTCAGTTTAGGCTCATTCAATAGAGATTTTTCTGCTCTACAAAATTCCATAGAAAAAGACATATTTTATATATATATATCTTATATATCACTGTTATTATCATAGTTGATGCATCGGAAAATCTGTAGTTTTCGATACTATTTGTAAAATCGAATCAACTATAAAGAAAATTTTGCACACATATGACTCTCCACCTTTCTATTTCGGGCGACTATAGTCAAATAAGAGGTGAGTGAATACACCCACGTGAGGGCCGTTAGTGCATCTTACAAATAACAGCACTAAAGGATGGTCAGCTAGTTAAACAAATAGAACTGAAATAACATCAGTATGATTGGTTGTAGTTCAAATGATGATTTTCATTCAGTTCATTGAAATTACTTTATATGAAAAAAAATGACAAATGCTGTGACTGAAGACATTAAGTGTCTCCCTCTGTCAAGTGAGGAGATTGTTTAAAATAGAATAGAAAACTTTTGTCTTTCAGTTACTAACAAGAAGTATTATATTAGCCAGTATACAGTTTACATATTTCTGTTGACGTCAATTCCCTACTATACACTCGAAGTTCATCTATAGCTCCTCTATATTGTCCAAGAACAATACTTCCTGTAGCGCAGCTTTGGCCTAGGTTTGACCCTAAAGTTAAATAATTTTGCGCACCACTTGCCGAATAACTTGAACCAGTTGAACCGGTTGATGATGCACGAAGAGCTCCATTTACATAGAGTCTTAGACCGTTTGTCGTACTAAATGTCTGAACGATATGTGTCCAAAATGGACTTGTTTGTATAACAGGACCAATTACAGATGTCGCTGAGAACGATGTAGTGTATATTTGAGCAACAATGGCGCTTGACGACGAAAATCCCAAGAATGGAAAACACCATCCTGCACCTGAAGACACGAAGACAAACAAATACCGTTATGTCTCTCTCGCTATGCTTGTTTACTAACCTGTTGAAAGTGATGATACATGAACAAGTACACCGCTTAATGTAGTAGGCATAATCCATAAGGCAATTGTAAATGCTTGATTAGTAGTACCAAGTGCTAGGGTAGTTTGCATTTGAAAATAACATGGCGTTGTTGTGTTTAGCTGTAGTGCTAGATTTACTTTTCCCGACGTAAAAAACTCCCCTGATGATGTTCCAACGAGAAAATTAGGCCCTGAATCATAGAGCGAACTGTCAAATGGAAAGTATGCAGCTAGTGTTGCGTCATTTAAAACTTCACATGCCGATTTAGCACGAGTACTGTACGATAGATGATCTATGTAGCCGTTGAAATAAACTTGTGCGGCTGCGCTCCCGCCAATTTGACCACCACCGATTGTTGCAGTCGAGCCTGACGTAGCCAGAACACCGGCTGAACTATAACCAATTTGAATCCCGTTTAAGTAAACAGTACGCGTGCGCGCACTATAATCGTAGACAAAAGCAGCGTGATACCAAGTGTTTGCTGATAAAGATGTACTAGAACTGGTATCGTCATTAAAAAAACCCCAATATAAAGCGTAGCTACGGATCATCATGAATAAACATTGTTCAGAATTACTCGCCAAAAATTGACCAAAAAAAGCATTATCCGACCCTGAATATACGTTCCAATAGAACCAAAACTCAATAGTAAAACTCCTTGCAGAGAAATTAATCGATGAAGCTGTTAAATATTGTGATGATGAATAGGTAAAACTGATCGCATTTCCAACCATGCCGGTGACAAATGTGGGAAGAGCTGGCTGTGAACTAGCTGTATAGCCATTTCCACTTCCATCGCTAAGTGTTGAATCAAATGAATAGAAACCAGCTAGTGATGCAGTTGATGTTGCTGTGGACATACAACTGGCCGCACAAAGAACAGTGGTTGCTGATGTTGATGTTGTACCTTAAATTTAGGAAGAAACATTCATCTTGCGTTAGCTCTACCTCATAACACTGGTATTAATGATGTTCAGAATAAAAACTACAACAAAGAATTTTGTTACACAATATTTCTGAAAAGATTGTGACGAGTTTTCTGGAGATTCCCTGCAAAATCCTCTCACGAAATCTTAAGGAGAATCCTCCATCTTTATTTTGATACGTTGTACATCTCATTGAGTTAAGCATACATCCTGAATTTTTTTACCTTGAAAATGTTGGCATAATAGTTGTCAAAATTAGAACCTTTATTTTCGCAAGTTCTGTTGGAGAAAAAAAATTATTTTGAAAAAACCTTGCCGAAGTTTTTTACAAAAGCTATGCAGGTTGGAACAAAATAGATCGACCGTGACCTAAAGACTTAACCATTTTGAAATAAATAAAATTTATATAAGAATTAGATTTGACTCTTATTATTTTCAGTTTTTGAAGGCACAGCAAATCAGGTCGCTAAGATACCGCTTATCACCATCTCGTAGAGTATGCCAGGCGTTCCTGCACTTCTGAGTAAACAGACAAAAAAAGCTAACATGAGAGCCATAGATTAAGACTGAAGTTAAAGATTGAAATTCTTGCAACTAGAAGATCTTGCCCCTCATTGTTGCACGTATTGCCCGCGTCCTTTTTGAGTAAAAAACAACTCATTTTTCTCGGACTTTTGTATAAACTCATGATTCGGTCGAAAGTCTACAAATATGAATTTATAGGTAACTTTAAGTGGCGAATCAAATACAGTGATACAAATAAGAAAGAATGCAACTTTGACCATGTTAGGCAGCTCTCGACATTCCATGTTATTTTAAAATTGTAATCTTCACGTCTTATACTTCACGTAAAATTAAAGATAATCAGCAACCAAATACTGTAAAAAGAATAAAAATATAGAACTATCTTCAAAAGCAGCACTTAATGATACTCGACATAGCACATTTGATAATAATAATTGAAATATTTCATATTTTATGAGAGATGTTATTACATCCTATGCATTTTGTCCAGGAATTTGCCAAGTTCTTGCATAGTCACCATCGCTTATACAAGCTGTACCGAAAGCAATATCGGAACGGATCGAAAAATATGAAAGCGAGTAAAGTGGCTAGAATCAGACAATATTTTTGAAGGATAAAAGTAGTGATCTCGATAATATAGTGAACGTAGTGATTCAGTAAGATGGGATATGTGAACAGATAAAAACGAAGATACTACTGGCACTGTTATGGAAATAGTAGATAACTATTCATAATGTAACAAGTAAAGTTATCTATATCTCCCATCGTTTACCCTATATAAACAAACAATTTCAGATGACTAACTATTGCACATTTTCTTCAGTAGTATTCAAGGTATCGTATGGTTACGAATAAATGTTCTGTGTGTGTTACTTTTTCCCTTCTACTCTCAATTTTCCTTCTTCCGCTTAGTACGGAATACGGCTGAATCACATAATCTGCTACCAGAGTGAGTGCGTTACCGTTTTTACTCATTCCTTTATGTTACAATACTTGAAAGGAACATTGTAGAAATTTGAGATATCTTGTTTTGCAGCTAAAAGTATGCTTTTAAAAATCCACTCGGGATGAACTGAGTTTTATTCAATCGTGTTTGCGCCATAATCGAAATACCAGCAGCTCTGAAAAAATGAATTTTAATTTTCAGCATGCTGCATTTTAGTTGTAGCACAAACACGATCGAGTGAACCGAGGTGATCCCACGATGGCTTTTACAAGCTCTGAGACCTTGCATCACAAGTCACATGTTTTCATTACTCAAAACCCAAAAATTTTGTGTCAGACGTAACCAGTTTTTTCTGTTGTATGCGACGTTGGTTTAGGACTGATCAGAATCAATAAAAAAGTACCGGGCTTGGTAAAGCTTGATGAAAATTGATCTTTATCTGTATTTTTTAACAAGCCTTACCAAGCCCGGTACTTTTTTTATTGATTTGACCAGTCCTAACACCAGCGTCACATACAACAGAGAAAACTGGTTACGTCTGGCACAAAAGCTCGGTAGAGCTTGGGGATTTTGAGTAAGGCAAACATGTGATCTTTGATGTAAGATCGCAAGTTCGTAACATCCCTACTTTTATTTACAAAACAAGACGTCTCTAAAATTCCTACAGCGTTCCTTTCAAATGTTGTAGCAAAAACCAAAAGAGTGAAAACGGTGACACACTCACACTCCGGAAATAACGTGTGCGAATATACTTAGTAACAATAGATAACTTGACGAATAAAAGCAAATGCTTTCTATCGCTCGATCAATTATGCTGTGTTTCGTGGTAACAAGGTTAGATACAACTATTTTCAACCATAAAATAGCTCTTTTTAATCAGACCAAATAGTTCCTACTTTTTGCGTAATCAACTGATGTAAGCGACATATTCTCTCCTTTTTCCTTACAACACTAATGCTTAGGGATGCATCAAATCCTGC